TTTTTTTTTTTTTTTTTTTTTTTTTTTTTTTTTGTAAAAGGTATTACTTTGCTTACTGAACACTTAATTTGATACAAATAGAAGGATTGTGAAAGACTTTCAAGCCCTAGTCGATAAAGGTAAAAAAAAAACAAAAAATAAAAGAAACGCAAAACAACAAAGAACTAGGAGTTTTTCTCTTCTTCTTGTTGCAAATTCACAATAAACTTTGAGAAATTTGGTATTTCTTTTTCCCGCATCACAATGTTGCAATTTTCCGAACAGAATACCCCTGAGCAGAAGATTGAATATGCAAAGGAAAAAAGAGGATGCTGGTGACGGAAAAAAAAAAAGAAATAAACAGACTTAGCCAAAAATGATGATATTTAAATATAGTAATAAGACTATGGCACAGAAAAACATTTTTTCCAACTGCTGCAAAATCAAATTAGGCGTTAGATGTATTTTTTTTCCTTTTTCGATTATTCGTTCTTTTTCCATGTCCACTTCTCATTCCACCTAATAATCCTTGAGTATTTTTCTCGTACAAAGAGCAAACACTGAAAAAAAAAGGACGAAAGTAAGAGAAAATATTTTGTAAAAATCCTTTAATAGCCCTCCAAAATCAAAAACACCGTAAATATAACTGTATAATAAGAGTGAAAAAAAAAATCACAAGTGTAATACTGATTGCACTAAAGATAAATATTTATTTCAAAAATTAACATAAAGGTTAAGCGATCCCGATCTTCTACCCTTACAGATAACTCCTCTTATTAGGGCTACGATACTCAGAATTTTTTGAGAAAAAAATGAATGAATAAATGAATAAATAAAAATAAACGTTTGTCTATGATTGAAGGAACGGGACGATAAAAGATGAATTGAAAGAAGCAATGCGAATGATGACTGCATTTACAGTCGACGAGTTTTGAATTTTTTCTCCTGTCACAAACGAAGGATGCACAAACTTTCTAGACTCTCCTCCCCTTCGCCTAGTTTGGTCAAAGATACCTAGTCTTTTGAGGAACAGAACATCGGGAATATGTGCGTTGTAGATGAAGGACTTTGAACAATGGAGACGGATGAATAAAAGAGATTGAATATGGCATGGTAGCAGTTCAACAGGACAACAACGGTAACAGCTACAAAAACAACGGCAACAACAAAAAAGTGCTACCCAATCCTCATTAAAAAATTGAACAGTTGGAAAAAAAAAAGGGAGAACTTTCAACTGATTGTATAATTTGAGTGTTGTCAAAGCAGACGTCAAAATGTCATCACGGAGGGAAAAAAAAAAGAAAACATAAGAAAAAAAGGCATAGACGATAATGTAGTGTAAAATCGATGCT